CCCCAGCAAAGCTGTATAACAAATAGCCTGAGCTGTCTGACACACTCTTCACAAAGGTGCTGAATTACTCACATAAAAATGGTACCATCAAGAAAAGCAGTGTAAAATTGTAGTATCTGGGACACCACAGCTCAGCAGTGCGTACAGTATGCCTACAGTTATAGAAATATATTCATAGTTTAGACAGAGAAAATTTTACAGCTAAGATTATAAACACAATTTTTTTTTTTTTGTTGATGAAATGCCTTAGTTATGAAATTAGTATTGTACCCTGAGTAGATATGTACTCTTTAGAATAAGGCTCTTCTGTAAAGAAAATGTTTTTTTCACACAGTGTGGATTAGTCATTTGAAAATATCTGCTCTATTGAACACTCTTGCTTGGATTATTTAAAAATGTGTAATAAATAATACAGAAAATATACTACACACAGCATAAATAAAAGACAATCCATATAATATAAAAGCAAACTAGAATTCAAGGAGAATCAGCAAAGTTAATCAGATAACAGTTTTCAATGTTTACATTTTTCTCTCTACAGCGATCTACGTAATCATTCAAAAAATGGACAAATAGGAAGAAATGAAAGCTTCTATTTTTTTAAATAAGATCAGTGGAACTGTGCTTTGAAATGGGGAAAAGAGAAAAAAAGAAAGATAAAATGCAGGTCTTTTTGCTTTACTGGAAGCATTTAGTAATTAGATTGCAGCTGCAGTTTATGAGATTCAGGTATAGATTTTTGCATGACTGGGGCTTCTGTTCGGTGTCCTTGGTTGAGAGAGAAAGTTTATTTCAGAAAAAAAAAAAAAAAAAAAATCATTATTTTTTTCATCTGAAAACTTCTATGCTTGTTATTGTTAGATATTATGCCATATCACTACCATTTATAAATGCTAAGCAAGAGAATGTGAATATGCTGTTGTTTTGTGAAACATTCTCCCAATGCATTCATTAAAGCAAATGGGAAATAAATATGAAGATGGGAATATAATTTAATACCTGAGATCTACAGATAAGGTGTGAGAAATTAAGCTCCACCGGTCTTCAGACTCCCTGAACAGACTTGCTAGCAAGGTGAGTGTGAGGCCAGAAAGTACTGAAGGACATCATATACCTAGGAGACACTATTAGCTCTTGGGTACCTCCCATTTGAGTAGACTGAATTTACTCAACTTAAACATTCTGCATGATTTTTGTGCCCCCCGTCTTTCTTCAAGGGACACAGTGCCTCAAGATGATGCACACAGTGCAGGTGCAGGTTACACTACTCGATCAGTAGCTCAGTATGTATTGAATGCCATGGAATTAAAGTTTAGAAAACTGGTAAGATTTTGCTCCTCAGTTACGTGTAACACCTGGAAAATGCTTGGGTCATGATGAAGACAAAGGAGATTCCCTACTTTATTTATGTGCCATGCTTACTAAAGGGAGGCCAAATCCAAGTACAGTATGTGGCTAAGAAAAAAACAGAAAAAAAAAAAAAAAAAAAAAAGTCTAAAATCTTTTATGTGCATCTATACAACTACATTGTTACTCAGCAATTCAGCAGTTCAGTTCCAGAGAAATGAACCAATTCAGTTTTCCCATCTATGAGAGAGGGAATGATATAGATAGATGATATTTAAGGTCCCTTCTAACCCAAACTGAAATTCTGTGATTCTGAGATTCTGTGATTCTGTGATTCCTTAACCCAGAGATAAAGTTGACCCAAGAATTCAAGTATTCTGCATATGTGAACAGTCTACAGCTTTTCTATTAGTCTGGTTCCAGTGATTTTAGCAATTACCTTTTGTTTTATTCACATCCTTTGGCTTCTATTATTTTCATTTTCCCTTTCTCCTGCCAGTCCCTTAATCAGCCTCTTTGGGAACTTACCATGACCATAGTATATAAACACCTCACAAACACTAATGCCTTTTTAACTTTACCCTTGCAAAACAGAAGAGTGTTAACTCACATTATAAGAAGAAGAAACAAAAGCACAGAGCAAGAAAAAGACTTGCCTGTCAATGGAAATGAAATCTGAAAAAAATCAGAAACTAAGCCCAAATGTTCAGAGCGCCTGCCCAATGTTTAACCTCAAGTCTACCCTTCCTACGCACTACCAGACAACCTAGGGCACTCATCATTTTGGCTGGGCGTGAAAGAGATTCTTGGTGTCATCTAATGGAAGTGCCTGTGCTGAGAGCCTGGGGTCACTTGTCAGTGATAACAGAAAAACTCTCTCTCAAAGGAAGATTCTGAGAAACAAAGTTGGGAGCACCTCTCTTCCTTTCCCTCTCTCTTCCTCACAAGCGCGGATGCTTGGGCTTCTAAATCGCGCACCCAAACCAGCTTTCTAAAGTAGACAGTATGAGTCATTTAGCTGACTTAAAATGCCCTGTACTCATCCACAAAGAGAATCCCATAAAGTTTTCCATGTCTCATTTAACTACCCACACATATGGATCACTCATCACAGTGCTATCTAAATGCCTGGTTGAACCAGTCACGTTAATTTCTGTGCTTGAAAATTGAATCTTAAGTACTGTTTTTTGCATTCATTTCTAGGATTTTTTCTGCTTTTTTTCTGCTTACCCAAATTAAGAATGCCATTCTGTTGTAATAAAGAGAGGTGAGGTGGAGGCGTACATGATCTCCACTAGTTCTACAACAACTCCCACCTCTCTGGCAATCCACTGACTCTCCCCAGAGCATTATCTGCCTATTGATAATCCTCTATCCCTTATCATGAGAAATAATAAATTCGGTTTCCCACATGTTGCTTTTCTTCTTTTTCTCTCTTGTCTTGTAGGATATTGGAGGTTTAAAAAGTATAGTATTTTGGATTTTTCCCTGTGGCGTAAGTGTTTGACTCTCTGATAACAGAATCATCCCTCATCCCTTTGTCCACGCTTTGGAAACTAGCACTTAAAGATGTATGTGTACATGTTTACCTCAGGTATTTCCTGCTAATCCACCCTCCCAGCATACATAGTGGGTTGAAGGAAGATGAAATGCCCCTGACCAAACCATCTGAGCCTGGCAGTGTGAGGAGGGTGATTGATCCCTTCTATGCTGCCCTAGAGAGGACCCATCTAGAGTAGTGAGTCCAGGTCTGGATCCTGCACCTTGGAAAAGAAGTGGAGCTTTTGGAATGCATCCAGGGGAGAGGCACAAAGATGATCAGAGAGCTGTAGCACATTTCTTCTAAAGAGAGGATGAGGAAGCTGAGCTTGTTCAGCTTGGAGAAGAGAAGGCTCTGGGGAGACCTCATTGCAGCCTTCCAGTATTTAAAGTAAGCTTATAAACAGTAGAGAAATCAACTTTTAAGATGGGTTAACAGTGATAGGACAAAGGGGAATGGTTTTAAATGAAAAGAGGGGAGATTTAGGTTAGATGTCAGAAGGAAGTTTTTCACTGAGAGGGTGGTGAGGCACTGGCAGGGGCTGCCTGGAAAAGTCGTGGGTGTCCCATCCCTGGAGAGCTCAAGGCCAGGTTGGAGGGGGGCCTGGGCAGCATGAGCTGGTGGGGGGCAGCCCTGTCCACGGCAGGGTTTGGGGAGGGGTGGGCTTTGAGGTCTCTTCCAACTTGAGTTGTTCTATGATTCTATGATCCTATGATGTATCTCCATTTGGGCAGCTCTGCGCATCTCTTCCTGTGAGCGTGCACTTGCAGGGTTAGTGTTATGGAAAAGGGAACGCCTAATTCCCAGCAGGATGGTGCAGAAATTTGGTCAGATTTATTGGGGGAACAACAGTATTACACAGAGTTATGTTCTATAGTGCACTTGTTTAGTGCTATAAACATCTGCAAATCACTATTTATTTTGTGAAGTAATTAACATCCCTAATTAGATGCACCTTGCAGCTGCTGTTAATTGGCAACAACGCAGTTACATTTTGATGCATATCTTCAGAAGAGTTACGGCGGAGAAGAAGGAAAAAAAAAAAAAAAAAAGAGGAATCTGAAGGGAAGGAAATAAAACTGTTCCCACACAGTTCAGAGAGTTCGCACAAAGAAGATCCCATGGCAACAGCGAGGCCCACAGTTTGCCTTAAAAAAAAAAAAAAAAAAGTAAAAAAAAAAAAAAAGTAAAAAAAAAAAAAAATATCCAAGAATAGATAATGTATCATCTCCTCCGAAACAACACTTCGCTTCGGAAGCCGACGGGCGGGGGAGGGAGCCGCGGCTGTCCCGCTGCCCGCGCGGGGCCGGGGGCCACCCGCTAGAGGGGAAAGTGCAGCGCCCGCAGCCCGGGGGGAGGTGCGGGGCCGCTGCCGGGAGTTTCTCGTGAGCCCTCGGAAGGACCCTCCTTCGCCACCCACCTCCCAGAAAGAAAAAAAAAATAATTTAAAAATTTAAAAAAAGAAAGAAAGAAAGAAAGAAAGAAAGAAGAAAGAAATCGGCCTCCCAAAGTGCTGCTGGAGGCGCGGCGAGTGTCGGAGCGGCCATGGGGTGGCAGCAGCAGTCCCTCCTTCCCGGCTCGCAACGGAGCGCATTCAATCCAACGCGGCGCTCGTGTAGAAGCACTGGGATCGTTCGTGCACTGCAGTTTCTCTCGCCTTTCTCCCTCTCTTCCTTTTCTGCTCCTTAGGATATTTTTGGGTGGATTGTGGCTACCCATCGGGATCTCCTCCTCGCACTGCTGATCACTTGGGACCTCCGCCGGGGATTGAGATCGTTCGGGGCAAGAGGACAACCGATTTTTTCCTTTCTTCTTTTCCCTCTGGAGATTTTTCTTTTCCCTCCACTCCCCCTCCCCCGTTGGCACGGCGGTGAGGATCCGGGAAGCGCCCTCCCCCGGCACCCCCCGCAGCAGGAAGCCCCGTCGGGCCGCCTCTCCCGGTACTCGGTGCGCGCAGCTCGGCCCCGGCCCTCGGACGCGGAGCTGCCCCCAGGCCGGCCGCCCCTCCTCCCCCCGCCGCACCTGGATGGTACCTCCCGCCGGAGGCGCGGGCACTTTGTGAAGTAGGAAGGAAGGGGCGACTCGGGGGGGAGGGCGGGAGGGGGGCGCCGGAGTCTGTATGGAATTACCTGCGCCCGCGGCGGAACTGGCGACGGCGGATGGCCGGGCGCCGTGTCCCCGGCACTCGTGGCGAGCGCAGCCCCGGGACTGAACGCGGGGCTTCTCCGGCCGGGAGCGCAGCGTTGTGACCGGATCGCACCGGAGGGACAGCGAGGAGGTCTCCTGCGGGTAAGGTCATTAAGAGAGCGCGGCAATGCTGAACTTGGCGGCGTGGGGCTGCGGTGGGCACTTCAGTGCGTGCTGCATTAGCCCGGGGCGGGGGGATTCGGCTAACGGCGGCAATGACTGCAGCGGGATTCCGGGGAGAGCTTTTTGCCATCAATCAGATATGGGAAAAATCCCCTTCTGCCTTCCTTCCCTCACCTTCTGGGCTTCAATTTTTCCCTTTTTTTTTTTTTTTTTTTCTTTCTTTCCCCCCACCCCCCCTTTAATATTTTTGACTGAGGAGGGGATGTAATTGTAACGAAGCTCTCGGTGGCGGAATGCATTAAATCCTGAGCCGGCTCCCACCCGCCGCTTAAAACAAGTGTCTCCAACTCCGGCATTCTGCTGCAATGGAGGCAGCGAATCCCGGCTCTCAAGTTGTTAAACTTTAAGGTGGCGATCGCTGTGATCCGCGGCTCGCTGCTGTGGTGCTAAGGGGGTTAATGGCACTGGCGGTGGTGGGGGATTGCCATCGCTCTCGTGCATCCTGCAAGGAAACTGTGAACTAGGAGGCGATGAGGGGAAAAAAAAACCACAGCAACAACACAACAACCTCGTCCTAAGTGTCACTAGGCTGGAAATCTCCCTTCCACCTGCTCCTGTACGGTGTTTTTTTTTTTTTTTTTCCACCCAATAACTCACCTGCGGGAACCTCAGACCACGTGCACGGGAGTTGCAGATTTGCAAACAGAGATGCTATCTGCGGTGCTTCGTGCATCTGTGCTGGGGGCTGCGTGGGAGTCATTCCTCTGTTGGCTGTGGTGTGAGCGAGGAAAGGAGAGGAACAAGCGGCTGAGAGCACAAGGGAAGCACTTCAGCCTGTAAGGACATAAAGCGACGCACCTCGCTCGTTCTCTGCAAAATCGGTTCTGAAAGAGGGGATGGGGGAAGGCTGAAGGAAAGGGTAGCGATGGCGCTGCACAGTGCAAGGCACCGCAGCGCCAAAGTTCCATAGTGTGCGCGGAGATCTATACCCTTCTGTGCTGCCCGTGGCTTCATGCATAATGGATGGGCGAAGATATGCAGATCTTCCCGTAGGAAGATGGATGGGTTTGTGGAGGAAAAAAAAAAAAAAAAAAAAGAGAGAAAGAAAAAAAGACGGTGATTATGTAACTTGATTACATCAGTGGCGTCAGTCGCCGATAGTGCGAGGAGGTGCTCGCACCGCCAATCGATCACTTGGAGGAACTTTGTGGCGGGGACCCGGCGGAGCAGGGGAGATCCCCGCTCGCTGCCGGCCGTGCCGTGCCGGGCGGAGCTCTCCGCCGCCTCCTCGGGATCCCGGGGAACCCCGCGGGACGGAGCCCGCCGCCCGCTCACCGCAAGGTCACAGCAGCGCCTCCGGAGCGCGGCGACAGCAGAGGGGGAGAGGAAGGTAGCCGAAATCCAGCTGAGCTTCCTCTCCCTTCCCCCTCACCCACCTCCGTAGGCTCCGCAAGGCAGAGCCGTGCTGCTTCCCTGTGGGCAGGTGCGCAGTAGGGACCTCGGCTCGCTCGGGGCGCAGCATCAGCAGCAAGGTGCTGCTGGGCGACCGGCTTTGGGAAGTGTTGGCAGGTGTAAGAGCCTAACCTACCTGTTACACTGACATTATAACCTGAAGGGTGGTCCTTGGGTTAGAGCTGGAGAATGGGCATCCGGGAACGTGGGCATCTCAGGAGTAAGAAGGTGAAAAGCAGAGGTGCTGTGAGAATCCCATTGGTATAACTCGGGTGGGCTTTGTGAGTGAATTATTCACAAAGAGAGCAGTATCAGGATAGCCTTTATTTTAATATCCATTTTAGAATCATGCGTCGCTATTTCTATCTGTTCATCTGTTCTGGGGGGGAAAAAAAAAGTACTCCTTGAGGACAGATAAGCTTGCAAAAGCACTGCTGAGGCCCTGTGGATGCATTTTCTGAAAAATGTAAGCCTGATGAAATCTTAACACAGCTGAAATAAGTGTTCTTATCATCGCTGGCCTATGTCCTTCCCACTTCACTCTGGATTCGTTCTAGCAAAATTTCTCTAAACATCTTTTCACTTACAAAGAGGTGAGGGCAGAGTGGATTTTGCATCTCTTGATAAACATGATCTCTACATACCTATTCTTTATCACATCTAATGCACTATCAAACTTGCAGTAATTTTACCATGGCAGTAGCCTGAAAAATCATTTTTTTTCCCAGAGCTTCCCTGAAAACATCAGTATTTTAAAGTTGCGTTAGCAATAGTTTATGTCTATTTTCATATTTCTTGAGGATAAGTCTGGGCAAGCACTAATAAATCCAGCTAATGGTGTTTAGAGTTTGACGTCCATAGAGTGTAGTGAGTAAATTGGAAAAAATGGCTATGAAGCTAACTCTGTTTCCATCCTTCAGGGGTCAGAATAACACTATGGTGTTGGCAACTCCTATGCATTGCTACATCTCTTGTAATTTTCAGAAATGTCCATAGCACACCCTGCTCTGTCACACATGGTTACAGGAACGCTCTTTCCCATTAATTCCTGACAGGCCTTGTTGTGGTAGATGTGCTACGTGCCTGTGCTGCTCTTCTTAAGGACAGCCCAGTTGTCTGGAAAACCTGGGATGCAAAAAAGGAGGCATTAACAGTGTGGGAATATATAATCAGATATGTTTGTATGATCTGATGTGCTGGATGCAAGAATTACCAATCTAGGGTGATGGAGAGTGGTAAGCAACCAAGTTTTATCTATAGATTAATTTCATCATTGTAGTTAGCAAGAGTTAGTAAAAATAAAAGGTTGCAGTATCCATTCAATTTGCATTCAGTATAGCTTCTTCAAGAGGAAACTTCTCATTACTGAAGTAAAACTGTAAATCCCTCAGATAAATCAAAAAATATTTACAGAAGTCATTCCCAAATTCCAAATCTCAGACCACCAAAAGCAGTGAGAGTTTGGCTGCGCACTCCTTGGTAGCTCTGGGAAGTCACCTTTTGAAGATCATTCCATTGCCTCCCTCTGAAAGAGGGGGCTTCTGCCTGCTGCTGTCACTGAAGGCAGTAGACTTGTTTTTCTGCTGATATGAAAAACTGAAGCACATGGGGCAGATGTTAATGAAGCTCCTTTTCCTTTCCAGTGATATTCTTGTAAAGGATTCAGCATATGTTCTGTGGCCATTACATCAAACTCATGTTCTGGGAAGCAAAGCAAAAAAAAAAAATTGATAACAGATTCTCATTTGGTGTTTTTGCATGTACAAAGAAGTGTTTAGATATACCTTGATGTTTTGCAACAGCAAAAACCTGTAGGGGTTAGGAGTCTTCTTGTTTTTATAGTGCACACTACATGATAATATATGGCAATTGAAACATTGAAGCTCTGATTAATATGATTAAAAAACTACCAACGTATCTAGTGACGTTCAAGTTGTTAAGTTTAATTATAGCAGCACAATTTGCACAGCTATAGATAAGGTTGTATCAGCATTTCTATTATAAACCTCTATCTGTTCCATCCGTAGTGTCAAGACTGCATAAAATAAGAAGAATTTACAGTAAAGCCCGTATTGGCTGTTTTGGGTTATGGGTATGGCCTGATGGGTCAGTAATCCTTGCGTTTCTTTAAGTTCTTACATGTGCACTTTCAGAAGCACCAAAGCAGCCATTGTGCTCTATCAATTCAAGTGTATGCTTGTTTTATTTTTAAATATAGGTATATATGAGTTGATGGACGTGTTCAAGGCCAGGTTGGACGGGGTCCTGGGCAACCTGATCTGAATGTGTATGTTTGGTGGCCCTGCTAGGCAGGGGGGTTGGAACTACATGATCCTTGAGGTCCCTTCCAACCCGGGTGATTCTGTGATTCTGTGATTCTGTGATGGACCAGGTGGCATCATTTAGCCTGTCATTTATCATATACTTTTATTCTGTTTTCATATTCTTTAAAGAAAAACAGCTCAAATGCAGCAATGAGTTTTATTTGTGATAGCTTAAAATTAATTCCCACTTGGACGAAAGCTTCTTTTTTGGGGGATGGGGAGGATGAAAGATTGTGTTTTATTAATTATAATATTCAAACTTGCCATGTTGGCTTAAGGGATTCACATGTGGAACTCCATTGTATTGCAAAAGGGGAAAATCTTGTTCTATTTGCCAAGTCTATGCAAGACTGAGGAAATCTGGTTCCTTGTTGGGTACTCTTCTTTTTCTAGGTCTCACTGTACCTGTGTGTTAAAGGTATTCCTAGGTCATTTCATGGTGCTTTATAGCACGCTATTTATGCCTGAATAACTAGGTCTGAAAAATGAGCCAAGGACATCAGTCTTACAATCTTCTGCGCTTAGGATTTTCATGTTTATAAGAACAGCACACAGGCATACAATAGTCCTTTAATGGTCATGACACCAACTTCAGTAATTCTTCATCTGGGTTTTTGATTGGGCATGTAAGTGGATGAAAGGAGAAAATGAAAAAAAAATTTCTGCCTGTATAGTAAATATTCCTACATAATTTTTGGTTTTGGGTGTAATTTAGGAAGTGCTCAGTGTAAGTTCTAAAAAGAAACACAGAAATCTAATTTATGCATCAGGAAGACCTATACAGTCTGTACAACCAGCAGGCAAACGAGGGGTAGTGATACTTGGTGACTGGATGGCTGGTGCTATTAGGAAATTTTTCTGTTCCCTAGTCTATCATGGTCTAGGACCTCCATTGAGCCTCAATGAATGTTGAGTTATAAAAGAGGAGGAAGATAGAAACTAACAGAAAGGTATAATCAAGGGGCAGGAAAATGTATAAGTATGTTGTCACTGTGTAGCTCCTGTCTTTGAAGAGATGAGATATATATATTTGTCCTTTCTTCACTAATGAGGCTGAGAGGCTCAAAGTTATTTCAGTTCCTGACTCCCACTATTCTTTCTAATTGTTTGGTAATACTCTCTTCAATATAAGGTCCATCGTCTTTTCTTTCATGCATTATTTTAGTTGTGTGATGAGATCCTGATTTCTCGCTTGAGGTAAAC